TAGGGTGTGCAAGTGAATTCTTGTGTCACAAATCAAATCACTGTGACTACCACTTCCCCACCCTGGCCACGCTGCCTTTTCCAGGATTCCATTTCATTTCCATAAAAATCGTTTCTGCCTCCAGCGCCTGGAACTGGCTAACAATACATCTAGCTGCCTATGAGGTAGGTCATATTAGCATTTCTATTTTATAAACAAGGGCACTCTGACCCAGGGAGCTAAAGTAGCCCCTCCAAAGTCACTGCATTAAGCAAAACCCAGTTTTTCCCTGCTGTGTCTTTCCTTTACTACTCACACAGAACAACACTTCACCTCAGACACTTGGGGTCACCAAACATGTGGAGGGTTTCCCCCACACCAAGCCGTTCTCCACGACACCGGCTGGGTGTCCTGTGATTTAACCCAATTCTGACATGATCTACCTGGAGATAGTATCAGATCCCACAGGTTAAGGGCTCAGTCCCCCAAGACTGCCCCCCACCCCACTTCAGATGCCAGCTGTAAATAGTAGGTCCCCAGGTTACCCGCAACTTCTGTCAGACTTGGCTACAGATCAAAGATTCCCATGACCTCAGGTTCTATTAATTTGCTGGAGTGGCTCACAGAACTTGGGGAAACACTTATGTTTACGGCTTGTTAGAGGATATGATAAAGGATACCAATAACAGTCAGATGAACAGGTACACAGGGTGAGGTCTGGGAGGATCCTAAACACAGGAGCTTCTGTTCCTGTGGGGTTGAGGTGCATCACCCCAGTCAGTATGTGATGTGTTCGCCAACCTGGAAGCTCCCCAAACCCCATGCTATTGGGATTTTTATGGAGGCTTCTTCTCATTGGCATGATTAATCATTAACTCCATTTCCTAGATCCTCTCCCTTTGCTAGACAATGGGAGGTTGGGGTCAAAAATTCTAAGCCTCTAAACATGGCTTGATCTTTCTGGGGACCAGCCCCCATCCAGGAGCCCATCCAGAGTCATCTTATTAGAGCAAAAGATGTTCCTCATGCTCTTAGCACTTAAAAAATTACAAGGGTTTTAGGATCCTTGTGTCAGGAACCAGGGGCAGTGGCCAATATATATATTTTCTATGATCTCATAGCCACGCAACTACTGGATGTTGAAGGCGAGATTTAAGTTCACGTGCATGGCTCTCACATGCCCTGCTCACCAGGTGCTCAGGGCAGGGACGTGTCTTGGTCTCATGTGGAAGCACACACAGTTGATTGCACAATTCTTTCCTGCCCGGCTTTGACATCAGAACTCCCTTTCCTGTTGCCCATCACTCATATCCAGGAATAAAAACTGCTTGAAAGGCTTGTCCAACAATGCAGCCTTAACAGGCCACCTATTCAGGACACAGAAAGTACAGGCAGGAAACACCTGCCCTGGAAATACTGGAGCTTCTGTTGACTGAAACGTGTGAACAGAAAAGCTGTCCTTGGGTCCAGGGACATTCTGAGCTGAGACTGGTGTTATCAGCCATATCCTGCAGAGCTGGAAGTGGGAGAACCCGGGTGGTGAGATGCATCTTCCAGGCCAACTGGGACCCTCTTGGTCATAGTGACAGTCAGTCACTGACAAATATTGTTCCGTGAAGGGGTTTGGAGGAGCCCAGGGTGTTCTGCCAAATGGGTAATTGGATTCCCATTGAACGGAGCAGTGATGGCTTGGCTCACCCCATTTTGAGCCAAGGGTGGTGGTCACTGGCTAAACCATGCAGAAAAGTCAAACCTGCAAGGCATTTTTACCCCTGTGTGTGTGTGTGTGTGTGCACTGAATCATATCATGGAAAGACTGCTCATTTCATGTAAGAATTTCTCACAAGATTCTCCAAAACCTTGACTATCCCCTGGGGTACTTTGAATAGAATTTCGGTTAGAAAATCAATTTGGGTTGAGTCACCTACAGACTGTCAGTAGTATGCATACTGGGTGGACTTCCCCCTTCTGTCCCTCATCTTTCCTCTCCCTGTCTCACTTCCTCCCTTCCTTTTATTTAACAAACTTTAGTTGAGCACCAGTTGTGGGCCAGATACTGTGCTGGGTATTAGGCAGTTGGAGATAAAGAAGACAGTCTTCACTGGGTGGGGATGGGTGGGCATCTACTGCCATGGTTTTCAAGCAGGACTGATCCCCCACCCCCCACACTGGGGAAAGTCCGGAGGCCTCTTTGGCCCTCCCAACTGGGGAGGGGGCGCTACTGACCTCTAGTGGGTGGAGGCCAGGGATGCTGCTCACCATCCTGCAATGCCCAGGACAGTCCCCCACACGAACAATCATCTGGCCTAAAATGTCAGTGGTGCTGAAGTTGAGAAATTGGATCTATGATCCAGAAGAAAGAATTGGACTGCATTGTGTTCAGCCCTGGCTCTGAATGTTGCTGGCAGAAGGCCTTGAGGGAGTCCCTTGACTTCTTTGAGTCTGTTTCCCATCTGTCAAAGGGGATGAAAATGGAATGACTGAAGGGAGTTTGGGTATGAATCATGCCCTTTGTTACCTAGTGCCCAAGAAACAATAGCCACTTGGCTTCTCTAAGCCCAGGCTTTCATGGACTAAAAGCTACCAGTGGGCCCTGGTGAAAGTGAACTCTCCAGATCTCATTTATTCCAAGAGGGTGCCCAAGGGACTGCCATGCTCTTTTCCCTTCCTGGCCTCACTGCAACCTGTAGTTATACACGGATTTGTATACCTCATGGTTTAATTCCCCTGCCTTCCAGTAGACCATAAACTCTATGAGAGCAGGGACTGTGTCTCTGTTCTTCCTTCCTGTATTCACAGCACCCAGCAGCATCTGGCCATAGGGTATGTATTCAGTAATGGAGCCAGACTGCCTCAGTTGAAATCCTGGCTTCTCCATTCATTAGCTGTGTGACCTTGGGCAAGTTATTGAACCTTTCTGTGCCTTATTTTCCTCCTCTGTAAAGTGGGACTAGTATCTCCCACCAAGGGTGTGGAGAGGGTTAAATAAGCAACTATTAACCAGTCGAGGGCCTCGCACCTGGTTAGTGCTTATGAGGGTTCATGATGACCACCATTACTTAGTGATTGTCCTAAATGTTAAGTAATAACGTGGCTCTGTTCCGCTATATGGCGACACAGCGCACAGGCACAGGCCTGCCTCTGCCTTCTGGGAGCATTTGTTTTTGTGAATCATTTGGAGAAAGATCTGAGTTTGTAGAGAGGCCGGCAGCTCACCTAAGCAGAAAAGTAGAAGCCAAAGTGATTTCTTGCTGGAGGCTCACAGGGGCCCCCTGGGTCACCAAACAGCCTTTCTCTCTCGCCTGGAAGAAATGAAAATTGATTTGAAGCTTGTCCCATCTGAAAAGGTCTGTTGGTAGCCGGCACTGGTGCATATTGTCAAGGATGCTTTGGGTTTCTGGCCCAGGGAGGAAGTGATTCACGACGATTCGCTTTCCCAGGGAGCGAGGCTGACCCAGCGGAGACACAAAATGAGGTCCCAGGGGCCTGCTGGGCTGGCTGCCTCCCTGAGTAGCAGCAAGAGAGGAAAATTGAAGGGCTGCTAGGAACTAATAAACGAGGAGAGGAGACCCATTGAGAACAAGTTCAGGGGCTGAGGGGAGCTGGGAATACTGTGCAGAGAGGATAGGATCAGAGATGGCCCAGGACAGTGGGACAACAACAATGACATTGATAATAATACTTCCCACTGAGTGCCTACCATGTGCCCACATTCACGCCCCTGATGACCCTATGAGGCCGCCTAGCCCGCGTGTGTCAGGCCTCATCGCCCCGTGGATGATAAAATAGGTCACACTTTCTGTATTCATGCATACATCCTTTATACATCCAACAAACGTTTACTGGGCACCCAGCATATGGCAGGCACTGTTCTAGGTACTGGGGACCTAGCTGAAGAGCAGACAGACCAGAAGTCCACACTCTGCATTCTTGAAGGCTATGGGTCCACGGATGCTCACAAGTAAGTCCATCTACTTTATCAGACGAGGAGTGCTGGAAGAAAGAGAAAGCCTGCGATGGGGGTGGCCACGGTGGGGGTAGGATGAGCTTGCATTGTTAAGAAGTGTGGTCAGGAAAAGCCTCCCTTGGAAAGGTGACAGTTGAGCAAAGATCTGAAAAAGGCAATTATTTGGGTTTCTGTGGCAATTCCAATATTTGTGATTGGCGGCTTCCCCACACCACCACATGACTCTCAGACACCAGGAGCGTATCTGAGAATTCAACTTAATTCTGACACTGTCTACCAGGGGTAGCATCAGATCCCTCAGGCTAAAGGTTCAGTCCTACGAGACTACAAGGAAGAGATGCATAGGGCAAGGTATTGGGGAGAAGGTGTGGAGTTTCCATGCTCTTTCCAGGCACGCTACTCTCCCCAAATCTCCATGTGTTCCCCAACCCGGAAGTTCTCTGAACCCTCTCCTTTTGGATTTTTACGGAGGCCTCCCTACATAAGCATGATTGCTCCATGTGTTGGCCATTGGCGATTGATTCAAAGTTCAGCCCCTCTCTGCTTGCAGGAGGTCATGGGTGGGACTGAATTTTCTAACCCTTTAATCACATGGTTGGTTCTCCTGGCAACCAGCCTCCATCCTTAGGTGGGGGGAGAGATGCAAAAGCCACTTCATTAACATAACAAAAGCACCTGTATCACTCTCATTACTTAGGAAATTCCAAGGGTTTTAGGAGCTCTGTGCTAGAAATGATGGAAGATCAAATATATATTTCTTATTATAAATTACAATATCACAGGCAAAAGGTGAGCCATGTGCAAATTTTGGAGAAGAGAAGAATAGCAGGTGCAAAGGCCCTGTGGTATGTCTGAAGACTAGAAAGGAGCGTAGTGAATGGGGGAGAGTAATGGTAGGTGGGAGCAGAAAAGGCACAGGTGTTGGATCATGTGGGCCTCATGGCCATTGTAAAGACTCTGGTTTTTATTCTGAATGAAATGATCCACTGCAGAATCTGGAGCTGAGAAGTCATTCTATCTGACTTAGGTTTTAACAGATTTCTGTTTGTTTTAGGTTTTAACAGATCCTGTTAATACTAACAGCCAAGGTTCACTGAGCACTTGCCGTATTCCGGGAACTACGCTAAGGGCTTTAGGAATCATTACCTCAGTAAATTCTCAAAAACAAAGTGAAATACAAAGCCCAGATGGTAAGTGCTATTACTATTTTCTATTATTATTACCATTTTAGAGAAGATGAAATTTACTTAACTCAGAAAAGTTGAGTAAATAAAGTCCAGAGTCACAGAGGTCCTAGACGGGGGAGGCTGAACCCAGGTTTGCGGGCCCTCCCTTTTGTTATACTGACGGGATGCTGACCTTGGAGTCAACTAGGTTTGGGTCAGAGCTCCAGCCCTTCTTTTTTTTTTTAAGATTTTATTTATTTATTTGACAGAGAGAGACACAGCGAGAGAGGGAACACAAGCAGGGGGAGTGGGAGAGGGAGAAGCAGGCTTCCCGCTGAGCAGGGAGCCCGATGCAGGGCTCGATCCCGGGACCCTGGGATCATGACCTGAGCCGAAGGCAGATGCGTAACGACTGAGCCACCCAGGCGCCCCTCCAGCCCTTCTTTTACTCACTGTGTGACCTTCAGCAAGTCACTTATCCTTTCTGAGCCATATTCTCTCATCTGTGGAATAAGAGTCATAAGACATCTCGAGCTGGTGAGAGATGGAAGAAGAAAATATGGAAGGTGGCTGGCATTGTGTCTGTCAACAGTGGCCACTCCAAAATACTAGATCCTTCTCAACACTTAACAAAAATTGATTGAGAGAAGGAAGATTTCCCCTTCCCAGCATGCAGAGGGTTAACTTAGAACCTCAGGCTGTTAGCATTTCTCTAATCTTGGCACTAATTATGTACAGAAATCATTTGCTTCTGCCACGTATAATGAAAACGATTGTACAGAAATGGAATTTATCATGCTATGTGTTATGAGAGGTTTAGTTTTAAAAAAAAAAATACTACCTCCATTTCCCCCACTTTTCTTCATTTCCCCCTCTCCTTGCCAGATAATCAAATACAAAAGTTATATTAACCTCCCAACCACTTCAATTAAAATGCTCATCCAAAATTTGAAAACAATTAAAAAACCCATTATCTCAGATTTAACGTTCTCTGATTCCGTGTCTATTTTCTGCCACGGCATAAACGGCAGGTAACATCACAGTAGGTGCCTTCTAGAAAGCAATGTCTCATTCTCTGCCAGTCGGTCCCGCGGCTGCTCTCCCGGCACAGACCTTATTAAAAACCCACACGCCCTGGTGTACTTTGTCATGTCCAAATGCATCAAAATAATTGATTGTTTTAATGAGCCCTCCATCTGTCTTACTTTCTTCTGTCTTTCCCTACCCGGTAGTGGGTTTCAGAGAGAAGAAAGGATAGGCTCTACTCTTGGGAGGCCATGGGCTCAAAGACCGGAGGGTCTCTGACTTGGATCTGCCCCCCTCAAGGGGTTCCGCATTCTCTGATGAAATTAGAAATGTTTTCCCACAGAAGACCTCGCCAGGAAGTGTGTTAGGGACTGGCTGGTGGCTACAAAGAATACAAGAGCCATCATCGACCGAGCTTGAGAGAAACAAGACTCTTCAATCACCCCTTGTGACTTAAGTTTGGGTCAACAAACATGGATTGAGTGCCTGCTGTATACCAAGACACCATGCCAGACAGTGGAGATACGGTGTCCAAGATCTGGTAGAATCAATCAAAATACTCCTTGGATCAGACACATTCATACACTACTGGTGGGAATATAAATTTTTGCAACCTTCCTGGAGTGCAATGTAACAATGTCTATCAAAAGATTTAAGAGATGTGCATGCCCGTTCACCCAGCAATTAGACTTCTAATCATTTATGATAAGACGATAATCACTTACGTGTTTGAAGATTTAGCTACAGCTGTGTTCTTTGCAACGTTATTTGTAAAAGCAAAGGAAAATAAAACCTTGAAAAACCTAATTGTCAATGACAAGGAATTACATAAATTAATGATGGCATATCCTTCGAATAAAATCATTTAAAAGCATATCTGAGAAGAGTATGTATTGAATGGCAAAAAGTCTATGATATATTGTTAAGTGAAAGAAACCAAATAGGATAGTAGATAGTATGATCTCAGTTTTATGGGGGGGGAAAATATATATATATAGCACCACTCTGAGGAGATGAGAATGAGGATGAGGGTTATTTTTACATTCTTTTCTGAGCTTTTTCTGTTCTGATTTTTTTTTTCTGTTCAGAAAAGAAAAAGTTATTTCCAAAAGGGATACGTGTGAATTGCAGCCAGAAATGGAATGGAAACATCCGGGCACTGAAGCCGCTTTAGGAACTAGCTGGGTTCTCTTTGGGCAAGGCTTCTTTTCTCTGGGTTCCTTCCGCTTACCCACCGTGCTGCTTCCTCAAAGCCTCTTCCTGCTCCTGGTCCATCAAAGCCTCCCTCGCCAGAGATCCACCCCACTGCTTCAGTGCCAACGTCGGACTGTTTCGGTCTCTGGATATACCTTAGTCCGCACTTCCGGGAGAGAGACTGTGAGTGGCCAGGCTCATCTCTTTCTCACCAGGCTGTGGTCTGTGTCATCAGCAGTCTATAGAGTCAGGGGGAGTGGGTCTAATCAGGTGTGGTCCAATCAGCAGTGGGCCAAGATCAAGATTGCCCGGGGCCATCTCTTAATCAGGGCATGGGGAGAGGCATTTCCCTTTCTGAGGCTCTGTGGCTGGGCAGTCAGGATGATAGACATCCTCGGCACAACGGTGCAATTGAAGAATTTGAATAATTCAGAGCTCTCGTATCCACAGGGGACCAGATCCTGTGTCTCTGTACTCTGCTTTGATCAAATAAATTAAATCATTGTTGATCCTGATGATCTTGGGACTGACATCATAGCTCACACAGTTTGGGGGAGAGGGGGTGTCATGCAAGACAAAGAAACAAAAGGCACTCAGATCAGAACAGAAGAAGCAAGCGATCTTCATTTGTAGACAACGGGATCATCTATGTAGAAAATCCTATGGAATCTACAAAAAAGCTACTATACTAGTAAGTGAGTTTAGCAATGAATTATTAATAACAACAAAGAATTATCTGGCCCAACATGTCAATAGTATGAAGGTAGAGAAACTCTGTTCTAGAAGAATACATAAGAGGGAACTTTTGTGACCTTGGTTTAAGCAAAACATTCTTAGGCATAACATCAAAAGCACAATCTATAAAAAAAAACAAATGAACAAATGAGACTTCATCAAAATTAAAATCTTCTGCTCTTAGTCTGATGGGGCTGCTATAACAAAATATTACAGACCGGGTGGCTTATAAACAACAAATTTATTTCTCACAGTTTTGGAGGCTGGAAGTCCAAGATCAAGGTGCCAACAGATTCAGTGTCTGGTGAAGACCCACTTCCTGGGTCATAGACTATACTTTCTCGTTGTGTCCTCCCATCGTGAGAGGGGAGAGGGAGCTCTCTGGGCTCTCTTATATAAGGGCACAAATCCCGTTCAGCAGGGCTCTGTTCTCCTGACTTCATCACCTCCCAAAGGCCCCACATTCTAATACCATCACCTTGGTGCTTAGGATTTCAACATATGAATTTTAAGGGGACATAAAAGTTCAGTTCATTGTACATTCTTCGAAGGCACTGTTACAAGAATGAAAAGACAAGCCACAGACTGGAAGACAATATTTGCAAATCATGTATCTGATAAAGGCTTTGTACCCAGAATATATAAAGAATGCTCAAAACTCAATAATAAGGAAACAAATATTCCAATTAAAAAATGGACAAACTATTTGAACAGACAACTCACCACAGAAGCTATGGGGATGGCAAAGAAGCACAGCAAAATATGCTCAACATCATTTGTCATTAGGAGAAAGCAAACTGAAAAACCCTGAGATACCATTACACAACTATTAGAATGACTAAAATCCCAAAGACTGACCCTACCAACCACTGACAAGGAGTGAAGGAATTGTACTCTTAAATGCTGCCTTTGCGAAGGAATATTGCACAACTATTTTGGAAATCAGTTGGGCAGTCTTAAAAAAATAAATTATACCTAGTCTATGATTCAGCTATTGTACTCCTAGGTATCTACCTGAAAGAAACGAAAGCATATGTCCATATAAAGACTTACAAATAACGCTTGTAGCAACCTTATTTGTAAGAGCCCTAAACTGGAACCAACCCAAGTGTCCATCAATAGGTGAATGGATAAACATACTGGGATATCCATATGATGGTATACTGTTTAACAGTAGAAAAGAATGAAGTGTTGATACACACAACAGAGATGAATCTCAAAATAATTGTGCTGAGTGGGAGAAGTGAGACCAAAAAAAAAAGGTATATACTATGTGATTCTTTATATAAAATTCAGGAAATGTAAAGCTTATCTTTAGTGACAGAAAGCAGATCAGTGATTGCCCAAGGCAAGGGAAGGGGGGGAAGGATTAGGAGAGGTGGAAAGAAATTTAGGGGGTGATGGATAATGTTCTTATCTTGATTGTGGTAATGATTTCACTGGTGTATACATACATTAAAATCTCAAATTGTACTCTTTAAATCTGTGCTGGTTACTGCCTATTATACCTCAATAGAGCCCTTAAATTAAAAAAAGAAAAAATGTGAATACACAGACTTGAAAAAATTGAACAGTCAAGGGAGTAATTCTGGCTCCAAGAGTGTCTGGGGAAAAAAAGACAAAGAGCTCACAAGATACCGTCTTTGTGTAATTTCCCTTTCTCTGGTTGTGTGGCCTCTCCCAGAGGGGCCCTCCTCATGTGGCCAACGGGGCTGCCACAACTCCTGGACTTTTTCCTTCTACATTCAGATCCAGAGAAAAGAAATCGGCGTGTTTTCCCCAGCGGTCTTCCTGAAACTCTGAAACTCACTTTAATTGGACCGGCTTAGGTCACATGCCTGTGAACATGCCAACCTTGCAGCCAGGGGACTGCGATGCTCAGAATGTCTCAGATCCGAGTCCTGTGAAGCGAGAGCAGAAAGGGGACGGATTTTTCTGCAGCAGTTTAGGACTGTGGTTGCAAGAAGGACAATGCAGACTGTGGTGATCGACCTCTGGCTGCAGGAAGCATGATGGATCGGGGACCTCAGTGGCTGTGCTCGGAAACCTAGCACCTTGTTGGTGCGGAGGTCATATTTCCCTGGGGCTGCTCTCAGCCAGCCCTGAGTGCAGAAGGAATACTGAGGCAGGCCCATTCCCTGGAGACACAGGTGCCTTTGGCTCAAGGACTCCCCAGGGACCCCGCTGAATGGCTTTGCATTGTAGTGTGAGATCTTCCCACACACCCTTCTTTCTTTCCTCCTCTCTACACTTCACTTGGCATCTGACCTGCATCAAGGTGATGGCTCTCCCAGCCTCTCCTGGCCTTTCTGGCCTCCCCCTCCACTTCCCCTAATAAATCTCTCGCATGTTTAACCCCATTTTAGCATCTGCTTTTTTGGAAGACCCGGATTAACACAGGTGCCAGGGAGGCAACTAACAAGTCTCTACCTTTATTTATTTTTTTAAATTTTTCAAGATTTTATTTATTTATTTGACAGGAGAGAGAGAGAGCACAAGCAGGGGGAGTGGCAGAGGGAGAGGGAGAAGCAGACTGCCCACTGAACAGGGAGCCCGATGTGGGGCTCAATCCCAGGACCCTGGGATCATGACCTGAGCTGAAGGCAGAAGCTTAACTGACTGAGCCACCCCAACAAATCTCTACCTTTAATCAAAAGTTCTAGAGTTTGCTCGGTAAGTTCTTCCCCCATATCTTATTTGACTTGTGGCTTTGCTTACAGAAACTGCTGGAGACACAAAAGCCTTGAAGTTGATATAACAATATTGACTTCTTGGCTGATAACCCTGCCTTCTATTTGCCAAGCACTCAATGATTTACAAAGCCCTTTATGGTACATAGCTTCATCTGAGCTTTACAAAAATGCAGTGAGGCAGGTGGAATTATTTGATGTTAGTCATAGGAGACTGATACTCTGAGAGGTCAAAATGAATTGTTTATAAAGTCCCATAGATTTATGTCACCGCTGTGCCTAAAAAATTTTCAATGACTCCTCGTTGCCTTCAAAACAAACACCAAGCTATTAATGTGATGCAAAACTGCCCTGTGCTTTGGCAGTAGACATACTGAGCTATGTTCAATGTTCCAAGAAGGGCACCTGGCCTTTGCACATGCTGTTCCATCTTCCTGAAATTCCTTTCCGTACCCTCTTCTGGTATCAACTAACTCTCTTCCTATAAGAAGATACTCTTTAAGACTGGATCATGTGTTCCTTTGGGTTCCCCAGCAACCTGTACTTATCCATTTCATAGCACTTGGCAAAATACATTGTAACATATACTGTAACATATACTGTAATTGACACTAAGTAGGACTGATTATCATCTGTCGCCAGAGGAAGAAACAGAATTAGGGAAGTGGAGTGTATTAGTCAGAGTTCTCCAGAAAAACAACCAGAAGGAGATAAGCAGATAGATAACATAAGGAATTGGCTTGCACAATTATGAAGGCTGAGAAGTCTTCTGCAGTTGGCAAGCTGGGGACCCAGGAGAGCCCATGTGTCATTCCAGTCTGAGTCCGAAGGCCCCAGAACCAGAAGAGCCAGTGATACATTTCTAGCCCGAAAGCCACTAGGCTTGAGATCTGAGAAAAGCTGCTGTTTCCATCCAAATTCAAAGGCTGGAAAAAGACTAACATCCAGCTCAAGCAGTCAGGCAGGGAGAAGTTTCCTCTAACGCACAGACTTTTCTTCTGTTCAGGTCTTCAGTGAGGCCCACCCACCCTGGGGAGGGCGATCTACTTAACTGAGTCTACTGATTCAAATGTTCATCTCCTCCAGAAACACCTGCACAGACACACCTGGAATAATGTCTGGCAAAAAGTCTGTGCACCCAGTGGCCCAGTCAAGTAGACCCATAAAAGGAAACATCACACAGAGGAATTACACAAGGTTGCATGACAGTCGGTGACAGGGCTGGAGCACAGAGGCCGTCTCCAAGCCTCGTTTTATGCGGACATGTTACTGTCCCTTTGGACAAGACAGGGCTGGTGATACCTGTATGATCCATCTGGAGTTCCTGGATTTCTTACGTACTAGGTGCCAGGCTGTATGCTTGGCATTTTACTTACATCCCCATGACCTTGGACTGTCATTGTCTCCAGTTGCATGGATATTTGTTGAGTGAACACATCCTGTT